GCTTCGGCAGACGCACGTGTCTCGCGCCTGTCCAAGACACGTCCATGACATGTCCGAGACGTGTCGCGTAGGCGCTTCGGCAGATGGATGTGTCTCTCCGCGAGCAGCGCTACCGCGCCGAGACGTTCCGCGCGCAGGCGCGCCGAGACATGTCCGAGACATGTCCGAGACATGTCCGAGACATGTCCGAGACATGTCCGAGACGTTCCGCGCGTAGGCGCGCCTAATCGATGCGCTGGGCGTGAGGACCGTGCGCGCCTTCGCGCCGATGGTGCTCGCGTCGGTGAGCGAGGCGCTGCTGCGCGGCGGCGGCAGCAGCCGGCGCGGCGTCTGCCTAGAGTCGCTGCTGCCGCTGACGGCGCTGTGCAGCAAGCTCGGCGAGGAGTTCCGCCCGCAGGCCGCCGCGCTGCTCCCGTCCCTGCTGCTGCTCCCCCTCTCGGCCGAGCTCGCCGCCGCGCTCGCCGCGCTCGCCGCCGCCACGCCCTCCCTCTCCTCCCTCGTCCGGGCGCGACTCCTCGACCTCGCCTCAGAGCCGCTGTCCGGCCTCCCGTGGCAAGCCGCAACCGCCGCAGACACCGAGTCGGCGTCGCCTACGCCCGCCGGGTCCGCCTCCCTCCACGCCGCCGCCGCCGCCGCCGGCGCCGCTCCGCCGCACTTGCCCGCCACTCCTGTCGAGGAGGACGTGTCCGCGACGTGTCCGCGACGTGTCCCTTAGGCGCCGCTCCGCCGCACATGCCCGGCACTCCAATCTGGGCGCGCCGCTCGTCCGCCGCCGCAGAGATCCGGCGTTCCAACTCGGACTCCGCCGCCGCCGCGACCGCTCTCGGCGGCGGCGCATGCCTCGGCGCCCTCGCCGGCGGCGCAGGCGGCGCCGGCGGCGCTGGCGGCGGTTTGGGCGGCGGCGCGGCGCACCACGCGGCGCACCACGCGGCGCCGGCGCGATCGCTGTCCGAGGCGGTGCTCTTCACCCTCGCAAGGCCGCACAACGGCCGCGCAGCAGCCTCCCCCTTCCGGGAGGTCGAGCTCCGCTTGAGAGACAAGCGGCGTGCGCCGCCGCTCTCCGACCTCCGGCGCGCCGCCTCCGGCCCTATCGGTGACTCGCACCCTGATCCCGTCTCCGCCGAGGCCGCCGCCGCCGCCGGCGGCGACAGCCGCCCGCTCTTCCGCGGCGCTCTCGCTCGCATGGTGGCCGCCGCGGGCGCGGGGCCAACCGCGGACGTGCCGCCCTTTTCGAGGGCGCGTCCGATGACATGTCCAAGACACGTCCTGTAGGCGCGGGGCCAACCGCGGACGTGCCGCCCTTTTCGAGGGCGAGGCGCGGCAGCTTGGCGGCGAGCGGCGCGGGGATGCCGCTGCACGAGCTGCGAGAGTCGGATGCGACGCTGTCGGAAGGGTCCGAGGGCGGCGGCGGCGGCGCGCCGCTCGAGGGGCTCACGCCGCCCGAAGGCCGCTCGCCGGCCGCGCCGCGCCGTTTGGGCGGGCTGCAGGCTTGCCCGCGTCGACGCCCGACAGAGAACGCTTGGCGCATGACTGATGGCTGATTCGTTGTGAGTTCGTTGCAGGCCTCCACCTCGATGCCGCTGCTGCCTCGCGCGCTGGTCGTGCGGCGCGGCTCTTGCGACGGCGGCGCCGGCTCAGCGAGCCCCGGCGGCGCACGAGGGAGCGGCGGGCAGAAGAGCGCGGGCGATCTCGCGGAGGAGATTTTGCTACTGGCGATGCGGACTCTGGCGGCCGTCTCGGAGGGAGGGCTGCCGACGCTCGGCTTCGTGCTGCGGCACGTCGCGCCTCGCACGCTCGCCAGCTCCGCCACGCTGCGCCGCGAGGCAGCCCTCACCGTTGTCGCTGTGGTCTCTCGCACCGCCGCGGGCGGAGGCGGCGGCGGCGGCGGCGGCGGAGGAGGAGGAGGAGGAGGAGGTGGTGGCGGCGGCGGCGGCGGCGGCGGCGGTGGTGGTGGTGGTGGTGGAGGAGGAGGAGGAGGAGGTGGTGGTGGTGGAGGTGCGTGGTCCGGGCGGGCCAGCAGCGCGCGCACGACGCCCCCGCCGTTCGGGGGCGAGTTTGGCGACAGCTGCGGCGCCCGCGATTTGGCCGCCAGCCTCGACGCGCCGGGGTGCGGCGAGGGAGGGCTCGGGCACGGCCACTGGTGCGAGGGCGCGCATTCGGCCGGCCGCGGCTCCCTCTTTGACTCCTCGTCGAGCGGCGCCAGCTCCCTCGCCCGCTTCTCGCACCGAGGCAGCAGCGCCGGGGAGGAGGAGGCGGCCGCCACCGCCAACGCCGCCGACGGCGGCAGCGGCACCGGCGGGTGGGCCGCGTGGGCGTGCGGCGGCAGCGCGGACGGCTCTCCGCCTTCCTCTCCGGCGAGCGGGCTCGCGGCTGGAGCAGGCCGCCGCGGCGTGTGGACCGCAGAGGCAGAGACGGCGGCGGTGGCGGGCGCGCGGGACTCGACAGCGGCCCCTCTCCGTGGCCGAGCATGTCCCGAGAGTACGCGGGAGTTTGTCGAGAGTAGGCGCCCTCCTCGACCGGCTCATCTCCGCCGCCGTCTACGACCCCGACGCGGCTCGTCCCCTACCCCCAACGGTACCCGAACCCACCCTCCCCCCTACCCCACGGTACCCGAACCCACCCAGGCCATCCGCGCGACCCTCTTCCGCGCGCTCGGCGCGCCCGACACGCCCTTCCGCCGCGGCCTCGCCGAGCAGCGGCGGCTGCGCACCATCGGGCTCGCGCTCCTCGACGAGGTGACATTGATGAACACTGATGAACACTAATGGACACTCATAAGCACGAGTTTGCACTACCTAACGACTCTCGCCCTCCTCGACCAGTCGACCGAGGTGCGTCTGCTCGCCGTCCCCCTCGTCGGCTCGCTCTCCACGCTCAACCCCGCCGTCGCCCTACCGATGCTCCGCCGGCTCCTCCTCACCTTGCGGCGCGAGCTCGGCGCAGACCCGCCCGCGCCGCTCCGCAGCACCACCCGTCGCCGGCGCGAGGAGCCGCCCGCGCGCGCGACCAAGGGTGGCGGCCGCAGCCTCGGCAGCCCGGGGCGGCGGCTGATCGACGAGCGGCAGCGGCAGGAGGGGGCGGCGCGGCTGCTGCGGCTGCTCTCCCGCCACTGCCCGCGGCTGCTGCGCACCTACTGCGCGCCGATCCTGCAGACCCTCCTCACCCGGCTGCGCACGACGCTCCACGCGCCGACTGCCTCGGAGCTGCCGCTCGCTCTCGGCGCTGTTAGCTAGCCTGGACTGTGGGTGAGCGGTGAATGAGCTGGTAACAGGAGCTGCTGCTTGCTCTCGGCGAGCTCGTGCGGACCACGCCGCGAAGCGTCGAGCCGCAGGCGCAGGAGCTGCTGATTTAGTTATGGCTACTACTCGGCTGATCGGTAAGCTCGAACCACTAATTCAGAACGTCGAGCCGCAGGCGCAAGAGCTGCTCGACATCCTGGTCGCCGCGCTGCAGCGCCCTTCCGCCTCGTCGACGCGCGCGCGCGCCGCGCTCTCCGCCCTCGAGGCGCTGCTCCAGACACTTCCGAGACACTTCCGAGACACTTCCTAGACACTTCCTCTCCGCCCTGGAGGCCAGCGCCCCGCGTCTCGCCCCGAACTAGCCGAGTGCCTTTCCATTCGATCTCAACCTGCCGATAAGCGCTGCCCTGCTC